ATAATAATAATAATAACAGAGTACTTACACTATGTCAAAAGCTACAAGACCCTGCAGCACATGCCTTCTTACACCTCTAACTTAGTCTATCATTCTCCCTACTTGCTCACTCCACACATTAAATACTCCAGGACATTTGCACTCGCTGTTCCTTCCCCATAAAATACTCTTCCCCTACTATCTGTGTGATTCACTCTTTCACTTCCATTAAACGTCACTGCTCTCGGAAAGAACTTTCCAGGTTACCCATTAGCTGCCTTTCTCAAGTAAGCTATAGAACAAGAAAATGACCCAAGTGACTATTTTCTCAATTTTCTTAAAGGTAGTACAGGATCATTAGTACCATTTAATATGGAAAGAAGTTGTTGTTGTTCTTATAAGCCTTAGAGTCAGACCTGACTCATGGTGACCCTTCCTTGGGTTTCCAAGGCAGTATCACTACGGAAGTAGATTGCCCAACCTTCCTTCTGAGGAGTGGCTGGTGGGTTTGAACTGCCAGCCTCCTGGTTAACAGTCAAGTGCTTTAGGCACTATGCTACCAGAGCTCCTATAAAACAAAACTCACTTGCTGTTGGGTCAGATAAAACTCATAGTGACTCTTCTTAAGGTTTCCAAGGCAATGTCACTACAGAAGTATATCACACAATCTTCCTTCCAAGGAGTGGCTGGTGGGTTTGAACCTCCAGCCTGCTGGTTAGCAGTCAAATGCCTTAGGAGAAGTTAATTAATTATATGCAATGAGTAACTTGGGATATTTGGACTTATTTCTTATCTGTAAGAATAAAATGACACCCCCCTTACCTAGGTGCATCTATTTCCCTAATCTTTCTTGTATATTGGCATGGCACTTAATTACCATCTAAATGTATGTGTGCTTGTGTGTGTGTGTATATATATATATATATATATATTCATATAAAATTTTATGTGTATATAATATTTATATATATATCTAATATATAATATATATGCACACACATAAACACACATGAACCAAACTAAACTCATTGTCATCCAGTTGATTCCAACTCATAGCAATCCTATAGGCTAGAACAGAACCACTTTACAGAATTTCCAAGCTGCAATATTTACAGAAGCAGACTTCCACATTTTTCTCCAGCTGTGCAGCTGGTGGGTTAGAACCTCACATATATAATACATGCTTTTCTTTTTTTTTTCTTTTTGCTTGTTTGTTTATAGCCCATCTAGTTTAATGTCCATCACTTGAATATAACCTTCATGAAGGCATGGGCTTTAACCATTTTGTCTATTTTATTCACTGCCTAGAGCCTAGGGTCTTGAGGATCACATGGTAAATTGCATGGAGCTTAATAAATATCTGCTAAATGAGTGATAAAGGAGCTCTGGTGGTGTAGTGCCTAAGACACTTGACTGCTAACCAAAAGGCTGGCAGTTCAAACCCACCAATCAGTCCTGGGAAAGAAGGTTGGGCAATCTACTTCCGTAGTGATACCGCCTTGGAAACCTGAGGAGGGGTCGCTATGAGTTGGATATGACTCGATGGCAGTGAGTAAACAAGTGATAAAGCAAGTGATTCCCATGTTCCTTGCAAATGAAAACACAAAAGTGATGTGATTGCGAGGTTATTGAAAAAAAAGTCATATTTACAAACACGGATATATGGGTGGATAGATGGGTGCCCGGGAGCTCTGGTAGCATAGTGGCTAAGACACTTGCCTGCTAACCAGACAGCTGGTGGTTCAA